TGAATGACATTTGAAAGTGAGAAGCTGAAAACACCCCTAGCTGCTGATTTGTGTCATAGTTATCCTTCAAGATAGGCAATGACAAGCTGTTGAGGGATATTAACCTAGCTGCTAACGCCCACAGAGGAGCGCAAACTTAAGCATTAATCTTGTTTAGTGGCTTTTGTCAGTGTTGCATAAAGGTAGGTGTATTGTAATTGATCTCCAGACCACAAAGGAAATGTTAATACATAGCTAGTAGCAGAATAGTCAAAATAAAGACCCGTGGGATAATAGAAAATTCTTTGATCACCTAGGGAAAGATTTACAACTTCCTCAGCCAGTTGAGAACACAACATTATTATATTGTCAAATTTTAGTAATTTTGCACTGATGCATAGGAAATCAACTGCAAATCACCAGATAGCCTGATAAATTCATTTGGGCCCAGATCCACTAAATGACTTGCAACATTTTTAGACACCCTGAGTATAAAATTGCAGTTCTCAAGGCTCCTATTTAGCTCCCCTCTAATGTTGGCAGTGAGTCAAAGCAGTAAGTGCCTATGATTTTGCTGATATTCACATTGCTTCTCACGTGCTTAGAAATGCCTTACCCTTGATAGAACTAAGTCCCTATCTCATGCCCAAACCCCATCGTTATCCACAAATCAGATATCTGTCTGCCTCTATAGCCTTTGGGGCTTGTTTCAGTTAATTTTCTCTAGGTGGGGATGTGCACAAAAGCTGGCAGCAAGAAGCATTTTATTTCAGACCACAGCTTCCATGGATGACAGTGCAGGGACTGGTAATAGTTGCTGTCCAGCCAATAGGTTGGTGGTTGCAGCCTGGTGCAGTCCCCAGCCTTGTGCCGTCTCTGCCTGGAGCATTGGGACTGCTCTCTGCAGCCTGGAGTGAGGGAAGTTGGGCTCACTGTCAAGTCTCTTGCAGTTCACAGTGAGAAAGCACACACTCACACATGGTAACCTGGATTTCAGTCCCAGGGACTGAAGGACTCTGAAGACTACTCATAATATTTTATCCATGGACTATTTCATGCAAATAAAGTTTGCACAAATCTACAGTATTATCCTTAGTCATCAATCTATCCAGAGTTACCCTCCACTATTGCTTATTTCCTTCTGTCCCAAAACATCTGCTTTCATACGAATCAGAATGAATGTGAGTCCTTCGTCCCCCAGTCTGGCTGGTGATTATGGTACTACTCTGGGAGGTGTAGGTTTGAATCTTGTTCTTCCCACAGTTTTCCAGGTCTCTTGGTGAATGCTCTAACCACAGGCCCTGGGATAAATGGGGACAATTCGGTACCTATGTGGTGATGTTGAATTGCAGCGAGTCCTGAGTGGGCAGAGGTTATTCCCAATTTTACTAAAGCCAGACAGGTATCAGCCTTTCTTCAGTTGTGGGCAGCTGTTTTGGGTCAGTGCCTTTCTGGGGTGCCTGCGTTGTACAGGGAGTACAGGGCTCAACCACAGAGCTGTGAATTTGGTTGCATGAACAAGATGCTGCAAAGTTAGGAAACGCAGTGCTCAAATGCCAGCAATTAATCCCTTCATATATCTAAGCCTCTGTATCACAGTGAAACAAGAGAAAGAACAATCTGAGATATGACATTTAAGCACATTAGTGTATATCATCTTGGGTCAGACCCTCAGTTGGTAGAGCCTGATGTAACTCCTTTGATTACAGCATAGTGAAAAACAATTTAGGGCAGTGTGGGATCGAGTTCTGGCCCACAAAGTTTGTCACAGCAATGAAATCCCAGATGTCAGGTATCCCCTTAGCTTGTGTAGTCTTGGCTGAAAAAAGAGATGATGTCTCACTTCTGGTGGAAAATAGTGAGTTTGTATAATAGCGAGCGATAAGATGGCACAAGGAGAGTAAATTCCATTAAATCAGAAAACATGGCCAAATGGGAATGTAAATGGGAGCTTCTCTAATTGTTCTCACAGCACATTTGGTGGTAAGGCTTTTAACCATTTCAAAACAATAATGCAGGTGTCCCATATTTCATGTGAAATAGAAGTAACTATAAGCAGAAGGGTAGTGCAAAATCCATAACTGTGCCTTTGTAGGACTTCACAGGGATGGAAAAATATCCCCTAGCACAGGATCGAGGCCATAATGTGCAAAACTCGCTTTCCAGGAAGCCACTTCCCCCCTCCCTCCATCAAGGTGATAGGTTCACTCAGTAACATCCATTTGACGTTTACTGTCTTAGATCCCACACTTCTGCCTCTGTGACAGAAAATGCATGGTGTGGTAGCAGACTCACATTAATGCAGCTCTCAAGTCCAAACAGAGCCTGATGTCTTGTTTTGTAAAAGCAGGTTATAATTTGTGTTACCTACCCCTTAATTTTCAACCTATGAGCATTTTCCCCCTAATTCTGTTGTATTAGCTATTATACAGATTAGCTGATTTGCATGCTCTCCCAAGCTTAACTGAAAAGATTCAAGTCTACAGGTCACATTTATTAGCAGAAGCAATGCTCCCTTAATTTTTCATCTTTAGATAGACAGGACTACCAAAAAATTAAACATACTTGTCTAAGAGGGAGAGAGGAGTCAGTAAAGGCAGTGATGAAGTAGCAGTAATTTCAAAATAGCTTCTCATGTATTGATTTTTTACCATTCGAGAGAAATACTGTGATATTTCTGATTACGTTTTGTGAAGAAATGTATGCTATTTGCCAGGCAAATTCCTATTTAGCTTTCTGTGGTAATCCAATCCCTAGGTTTCCAGTGTCTGAGAATTAATCACTTCCAACAGTTTTAGTTTTCCCCTAAACAGCACTGTTGGTAGCAAAAAAGGGGCAGTTTCTAGTTACAGGAAGCAAGACTGAGTCATGTCTGGACCTGCAGAGATTCCACCTTGACTCTGTGGCTTCTGATCCTGGATCTTGGCTTTCTCTGCCCTGAGTTCCCGATGCACCCCCGTGTCAGGAGCCAGCAGGAGGGGTAATGTGTAGCCGAAGGGAGGATCACAGCTGGGCATGACTGAGCTGCGGCAAAGCAGAGAGCAGGAGGGATGTGAGACGTGTTTCCCTCTTGTGACATCAGAGCAGTCATCTAGGATATCCTTCAGGCAAAAATACCATATTAGATCTACTGTCCATTTTTACCAGCAGTAGGTTGTACTATGTATAACAACAGGATTTTTCAGAAGTCTCTACTATGCTAATAAAATGGTTCTGTATTACTGAGAGAACTATGCTTTCATGTTGAATGAGGTCTGAGAAACAACAGAGTAAAATTCTTCATAACGTTTTTTCTAAGAATGGAGAAATTTACATAAAGTGGAAATTTTACTGTCTGCAATATCATTATAATGATGTTATTCCTCAGTATTAACAGGATGCTACCCTTTCGGTGACTTATGGTATTCGAGTTAGAACAGTTGGCCTTGCCCTGGTGTCAGACGCGTAGCTGTGTGCGGAAGTGGGGAGCAGCTCAAAGCCCCCATCAGAGACAGTATAGACAGTAAATACTGTAAAGGCATGCTAGTCCTTTATAAATAATAGGCAGCTCACTGCTGCAGTGATAAATGAGGCAGTTCCCATCCTGGGACAACTCTGGGGGCAATCCTCTCAGTTTTCCATAGTCTAGATTTGTAGAAATCAGTGTGTGACAGAGACTCAGTGAAAAGGGAGCGTGAGCGCAGATATTCAGGTTGAAATTTTGGGATATCATACGGTTCACTTCCTAGACCTCCTTTTTGTCTAAAAGATTTACCACCAAGCAAAGTGTTAAGGCATCAGATGTTTTAACATGCTGGAGACACAATATGTGTAATGCTTGAGAAATATGTGAGAGCATTGAAGTCTCAGATACCATTAGTTTATTTTAGTATGGAAGAAAAATTTGTCAGGGAACCCTTGTCAGATATGCTGAGAAGCTTTATTGAAGAGGTTTTCATGCCATGATGGATTTCCTGAAAAGGGAATGTTTTTCCCATGTAAATACTCTTGAAATCCTAGCAAAATGCTGGTGTGAGCAAAAGTTGCTTACTGTAACTTTACCAAACCAAAATAAGACATTTTTAAATGCAAATTGCCGATGTTTCTGTAAGGTGATCCCAATTAGTCCAGCTCACTTTCTAAGTGAAGGGCATCATCACCCCTAAAATGTGCAAGTCTGACACTAAAAGACAACTGAATCTCAACTGCTCTAACATAAAAAAGTTTATTGGAAGAAAACAACACAAATCCTGTGGCAAATGTGTGCAGATAGTTTCTGATATGCTGAAGGAAAATTACTCTGATATTTTCATCAAAATACTATGAACCCATCACAGAGTGGAAAAATTTATTACCTGTGGCTTTTGATACATGAATTTAAAGATGTTTCCTTTTTGAAAAAGAAGTGCTTGTTCATTGTCTTGCAGTTTGCAAATGGATCTTTATAAATCAACATTAAGGTCCTGTGAGTGTATTCTTTGTCACTGAATTAAGGATCCGTCTTCTGATAAAAAGAGAGTGTTGTAGGAAAAGAAAAAACTGTCAGTTAGTTGATGCTGAGCTTGACCAATGCTTTCCTTGTTATTTGATTGAAGCTAAAATAAAGCAATGAATCCTGAAATGTGTTTGTTTACATAAAATGCCCCTGGTGTGTGGCTGGCTGGGTTTGCTCCTTTTGGTTTTGATGCAATCCAGAGGCAATAATACCTGTGTGTATACAGGGCTTGCTGCAGATAAAATGGTATGTCAGATTCAGCATGAAAAGCAATCTTGGTTTGTAACAATGACAATGGCCATGCTTTCTATGACTTTACTATGGCCAGGTTTTTACTCCTGGACTCTTTGTATAGCAAAGAATCATAGAGAAATTCCCCAGGAAATTTTAGTTTCTTGTACTATCAGACAAATAAGGTGTATCATTATATCATTTTAATCAAAGGTAGCTACAGCATTTAGAAAATATCAGTACTAGTTATTGCTTATATTAATATGTAATGTGAATTAACTTTTTTGCTTGACCTTTATGTAATATTTATGCCCAGATCTGCCATTGGGAAGCTGGGAGTGGAGGTATTTGAGGCCGTGTACGGGTATCTCAAGCAAGCGAGACAGCAGAATGCCAGTGAGGAGGAGATAAGGAGACGTCTGGAGAAACTGGTGTCTAGAGCAAGTGACTGCTTTGAAGTGGATCAGCTTCTCTACTTTGAGGAGCAGTTACAGGCTTCAGCATCATGTCTTCAGCTGTAAAATGCGTGTCAATAACAGCGTTGGAAATCGCAAGGAGGTGTGAAGGTGCTGAGCTGCCTTCTTCAGGCCAGCAAGCAAATACAGGAGGTACTACTAGCGTAGCACATAAACATAAGGTAGCGTAGTACATAAACATGTGGGTAAACCAGAGTTCCTTTTTTTTCACCACTTAAGGCATAAAGAAATAATTCCTTCTGGGTCTTGGCCAGGTGTCAGTCCTGCACGCAGGGCATCACTGGCAAAGCTGCCTCTGATGGAAATGGTGCAGAATTAGACTCCAGCTGCTGTTGATTCCTGTGCTAACTGGTGCCCATGACATTTAAGCCCATATTTTTTGTACTTTGTCAGATTTATCCTTGAACACACACACACACATATACAGCTACTCAGCCTCTAATTGTCTTGTCATTATTTATTGTTCAAAAGGATTGCATTTAATCTGTATGACTTTCAAAGGAACTGTGAAAACACCTGCATATGTGTATATATATATGTAAAAATACACAGAGATAGGTGTGTATATCCATAGAGGCAGAAAGATGTCTGGCCATACACTGTATGTATGTGTATGTATAGAGACAGAGACTCAAGGCCCGAGCTGTAGCTCACTGTGTTAGATAGGAATCCTTACTGTGACTTCCGAGAGTTTTGGATCAAATACATTGTACACAGATGAAACAATAAACTGATTTTTGTTTGTTTGTTTGTTTGCACATGGTTGCTGTCAATGTTTTTTTGTTAGTGTTTATATTCCCTTCTTCATATGCGTCAACACTTTTGCTGATTTCAACTGTATATTGTGCTCTGATTATATACTTGATATTTCCCATCTACTTCTTCCTTCTTTATTCTGCATTCTGAGCTCCTTCATCCATCTGTGTAAAACACTAAAGGATAACAAAGTGGTACAATCTGTAAAGGAATCTCAAATAAATCATGGACCAAGTTAATTTTAGGCATCGAGCCATTATCATAACCCTTATGTTTCCTGGTTTTGTGCCACAACTCTTAAAGGACTCAGAGACTCAAGTAAGTAAGTTAAAATAAATGCATAATACAAATATCAAAAAACATTGCACTTTGACCTGAGATGAGTTATTTACAGCTAAGGATGGTGGTATTGATAGTAAATTAAGCAGTGCTACCGATCCATTTTTGTGACATGCTTTAAGAGACTCGAAGGGAAAGATAAGTAGAGTCATGTTAATCTGTCTCAGCAATAACACAAAGTGCGGAAACAAAGGGCATGCTCACCTACAAAAGATGTGTCGTTATACTTCCAACTCAAAGTAATAGGAGATTCTGGCATGACTGATTTCAGCTTTTGAGTTACAAACCAGATGCTAAAATCCACTGTGATGTTCACTGAGGTAGGGAGACATGAGGGTTTTTTTTCTACTATGAGGTGTTTCAGATCCCATAGATGGAGAGACAGTTTGAAGCACAGATTCTCCGTCAGGTTTCAGTCTCTTTGCTGTTATGTCTTCTTGTACTTACACTCCCCATCTTTCTCAATGTTGTGTTTGTGTTCCATATTTTTTGCACATGACTTGATTTAAGACCATTTAAAAACAGAAGTGCTAAAGTCCAAGATATAGGAGGAGTGCTTGGATGTTCCAGGAACTAAAATGTTCACAAAGCAAACAATAACTAACACATGCTGAGAATAACATCAGAGGGAGATAATCTTGACTACTGCACTTACCTCTGGCTGTGATTCAAAGTGATTTATCATAAAAACTTCAAAAACAACCTCTGGAAGCAGTCAATTCCTTTTTATTAATGATGAACACCTTTCAGACTTTTTTCATGCAGCATGCAAGAAAAAAATGCTACATAGGAATGGGTCAGGCTCTCCAAGGCAGTCAAGCACTAGGGAGATCATTAAAGAGCAATCCTTAAAGCCTGGAAAACATGGTTTAGCCATGCAAATTACCTTCAGTGAAATGGTTGCTCCCTGATGAGCAGTACTTTTGCTTGTTGCACACGAAGAAGAAATCACAGCAACCTTTACAGTTACTTCAGTTGTTTTCTTCTCTCTGCAGGATATGACCTTCAAGTCATGTGAGGATCTGGAGGTTACCACTTTACTGTGTATATCCTTTATACTATGCTTTGTTTTTGCATTTTCCATCAATCATACCACAATTAGGCGATGTGGCATACATATTAAACTCAGCAGGAAGCTTTTTGTCATTGAACTGTAGTAAGAGCAGAAATAAATCCCATGTATTTAACAGAAATTCTTACATCACTGTTTCTTTTGAGAGTCACTTCAGAAAGGTGTTAGGGTTGCATTAGAGGCCTTTGTCTCTACTTACGTTTTCTAATAAAACCCTACATTGTTCAGATTTCGTCCCTTCCAAAATTCTCAGCAAATTGCTGGGTTTGAAATTGCATTATCTAGACCAGGACTGGCTCCTATTATAGAGAATATGAGGTCTATCCCCACCAGAACTTGAATTTGTCTTCTGTCACTCTTTTTTCCATAACCTGGGGGAGGGTATGCATCAGGAGTTCTGTAGCTGGCTTTTGGGTTGTGTTTAAAGGCCTCAGTATTCTCCTGCACTTATGCAGCTGCAATGTAAGTAGCCTTCAGTGGGGATTTTTTATGCTATCATCAGGCATGTAGAGATGGGCATGGGGGTATACAGAAGTTACAATAATTTTTTCAGACAATTGCCATATTTTTCTATTTTCCAACATATAACAATTAAATATTCTCATCATGTTAGTATTTTCTTGATAATGTATATCACACACTGTTCTTGTTTTGTGTGATACCATTATCATAAACCTTTATTGTGTTATAGATGTGTGCACAAACACAAACACGTCTCCTATCAGATCTTCTTTTGAGGTCACCACTGGCTAAAAATCCACTGATCCTGAATATTTTAGACTAAATAGATTGATTAAGTTTTTATAAAAATGTTTGTAGACACATTGCGGGAGAGCTGAGCACGCACATGACCAGTGTGATCAAGCAATGCCCGTTTATTACAACTAAGAAAGCCCTTTTATACTGTTCTCCCGCACACGTGAGTAACATGCAGTACAAGTCCTCAGGATTGGACAGTTAACTTAGCCCGCGCTTTAAACCTTCTTACAATTGGATAAAAAGTGCCACGTCAGCCTTGCCAGGCTTCCTGCCTTGTGTAACTTCCTCTTCCATCCCAAACCCTTCTGGGGGTTGTTTGTCTCGTCGTTTCTCCCCCCTCATTCAGGGTCACATCCTTATCGCATTCTTGTTCATCTGAGGCTCTTACCAGTCTTGTTCTCACGCAGGATTGCTCACACGGCCGTTCTCTTGCAGAAAGTCCTCTAGAATCCCAACAGACACATGAATCAAAAATTGTGACAGAGAACATCTTACACACCCTGGGGCAGAGAGGCTGGTGCCATAGTGGCAGATAGACTCTATCTGCTGAGCTTAGGGTAGCTGCATTTGGTACAGTGGTATGAGCATTAAAGATAATAGCATTTATTGAGATGCTGTGCTGATAATCTATATATATGTTTATCAGATTAATTATTTTTCTGTAATCAAGTTTAATATAAAAAGAGAGTAGTCAATTTTGAATTGACAAAAAGGTATGGTACTGAATCCTTAGAGATCAATAGATCCTTAGAAATGCAAAAAGCCTCAAGAAAGCAAGAGCAGTCACTAATCATAAAGCAATAGTCAAGCCCAGTCAGGCTTTTAACACACCTTACTCTTCTATGAACAGGTCAATCTACAGAGAGAGCAGTACAGATCCTTTTCTAACCTAATAAGGCCTTGATGGAAGGAGAGAAACAGATCAAATTCATTACATTATCTACTAGATAAACACAATGACTTGCCATAAAACCCCCCAAAAATCTCTTCTTAAAAGATCAAATCTTGTATAAGATACATTTTAATTTTCAGTTTTATTCTGTTTTCTTGGGAGAAAGAGCTTAAGATGAAGAAAAGACTAAGTCCCTGTCTTTTACATATGAAATGCATTTCATATGTGAAAACATAAATGAAATACAAGCAAGTTCATTCCAAGCAAAATCCCATCCTGGTGGTCATTAATGGAAATTTAAAAGGAAGAAGGAGGTATGTTAGTATAAAAGATCTTACAATAAAAAAGCAACAGACCTGCTGGAAGTAAATATGCGGAAATAAATGTAAAGACATTAGATTGCTGTGGATGGGGCTTCATAAAAGGTCCCTTTTGATCTACATTTTTGTACTAAAAGCTTCACAAGCATCAGGCAATCTTGCTGTTTTTTTATTGACTCTTGTAAGAATGCTGCAAGCTTTATTACTTGATGAGGAGATATTGCAAACAAAGGAAGTGAGGTAATTATTTAATGCTTTGGGGCCTTGAGCCTGGTTAAAAGGTGCTTGAACTATAAAGGAAAAAAAAAAACACCACATTTGAGTGTTTTGATAAGAACTGTCAACACCTTGTGCACAGCTGGATTGGGAGGCAGACAGATTATATTTGTCACAGGCAAACACCTTTCTCAGAGGTGACTGGCCTGCCAGATAATCCCTAGAGGGCATCAGAGTGCCCTCTCTATAAAATGAATTGGATGTTTTCAGTGTCTGAGAATCCTGCCTGCAGGAAAGGACCATCCTTCCTACAGGACCTGGCTCTCTGGGTGCTGCCTGGTGATGCCCTCGGGCCCAAACCACAAACCTGTAGCTGACATGGCCAGAGCTCACCCAAAACCACTGCTGGCTCTCCAAGTCCACACGTAACTGGGGTGATGGAACATCAAGCAGATACACAGGTGGGAAAAAGGTATGAGGCAGCAAAGTAGGCTTACAGATAACTCCAAGACTGACCTTTCAGTGCACTACAGGTGCAACCGGTATTATATGAAGGTCTTTACTGGGCAAGAGAAGAAATGCTCAAACAGGAGATTCATTTGGAGATAGGAATAGGCATGTAGGTATGCTTGATTTCATATTTCATATGTGATATGTGTTTGCAACACATCATAAGCTGAAAATCCTTTAGTGTGTCTCCTCTGAAAACTGTTGTTTTCAGGAGAGAGAGAGGTGCAGCAGAAAGTTGTCTGCATATGATTACTGGTAGTAAGCAGAAGTCTCATGAAAATACAGTCCCCAGCTGCTGATTTGGCTGATGATCATTACTGCTCAGGAATATGGCTGCCTTGATAATAACTCTACCCAGATGTGCTGGGTATATGTACATAAGAGCTGGGAACAGCAAAGGTAAATGTATTTATGGATAGACTTGTCAGGGACAGGGGGTGGGGGAGGATTGGAATAGGAAGAAAAGGGTTGTAGGTTCCTCCCTCTTACACCTTCTCCTCATATACATAATTTTCACACCCAGTCCTATCTATTTTTGTCACATTTTTATGGTTGGGAGAATCAAGGGAGAGTGAACGGTTTTCTGAAAGTCACTGAAATATCTGGAATGAGGCTAGGAGTGAAATCCTAGCAGGAAACCTTGAACTCAATCCAGCGGTCAGAGCAAGAGAAGACGTGCAAATGCTTCTGCTTTCATGTAACTGTGGGTCCAGCTTTCTTGTATCTGTATTGTAATATGTCCATCATGGCTGCAAAGGTAATTATTTACAGATAACTTGCCATGTTAGCTCTGCAGACAGGTTTCAGTCTTGAGTTCAGAAATGGTTAGCTACAGCCACCTGATTTTCAGTATTCCCACACTGTGTAGTTGGTCACTACCCCAGCAGGTCAGGGAGCAGAAACCAGGTCATGGGAATAAACTTCCCAGCAGAGAAATCAGTTGAGGAAAACAGACTATTAGTCAGCTGGTTTAAAAGTACACCCCCTGGGTGAATATTTATCCATTCCACTTGATGAGATGTGGCCAGGGATTCCCGGTGTTTTGCAATGGGCCAGGAATGCACACACTGCGACTATCATCCCACGGATAAAATGAGCTTGGTGTTTCCATCTTCAT